TGCACCGGAAGGAATGCCGCTTTTGCAGTTTGTGCTTGCTGTTTATTAATCATTTGAAACTAGCAAACTAGCAACTCCAGTAGTAAGATTAAAGGATTAATCCTGAACTCTGTCACGGAAATTATGTATAAACCCTAATCAAACAATTTAATAATCAATTTACAATTAATTTATACCCGTGTTGTACATTATGCTGTACGCCATGGATGAGTGCTTTCTAAAACTGAACGGATTGATTATTCAGCTGCGGGCGAGATGCGGGAGTTCATTCGGCGCGTGAATCTCACGGTGCATTATGGGCATTCTCTAGCCGTTGAGCGTGCACCAGTTGGACACTTGTTTTTGCAATGCATTGTGGGATTGAATGAGTGCACTCGAGAACGTCCACTATGGTTTCGGACACCACTAAAAATGTCTGTTCCCTCAAATAGTGCCCTATTTAAGGGTATAGGGGGCGATTTCGGACACAGCCTATGATTTAGACGCAGAACGCCTTTACGACCACATCAAACAGGAGACTTTACAGACCCACACTCCACTTTACCTCAGCATAGCGTGCTTGTAGCCTGTGCTCTACAATTGCACGCACAAATGCGGTGGCATGCGCTGTAGCCTGTATCATTTAATATTAAAGCACAAGTGAAACTACGAGCATGCGTGTCAGATCCGCGTCACTTTCAGCAGCGGCAGGTCTTAAAGAAATAGCAGCCAAAAAACCTAATAACCCAGCTGCTGTGATCAAAGAACAAAAAAAAAAAAAAAAAAAAAAAGAGAGGAAATCAATAATTTTTGTAGCTTTAAGGATTGAGCTATATTTAATTTAGTATTTTATTCAAATTCTGTATATTTCCTACTTGCTGAAGGGCACAGGTAAATATGACATTTGTTATAATGGGTTTATGTGAAGATTGTTTTAAGTTCACTTAAATGTTAAAATTGATAGCTCACAATTATACTGTAATATTGAATGGCTATAGTCGATGGATAAATATTAGGGAAAAAATCATTTCCTAGGGACATCAGTAGTATTGGTATCAGTGATACTCGCCTTCAGTCTTAAAAAAAAGATGCCATTAAACAAATATTAAAAATATACCGTCTTTATGTTTTTCTACATTCATTTGAAGATTGAATATGAAGTGTGAAATTATTGTAATATAAAAGTATATTTAAAAACTTTTAATTGTAAACTCCTATTGTTAGGTGGGATTAATCGCAATTGATTTCAGAAAAAATGTGCAATTAATTTAAAAACAGCACTAATATATGCATGTGTGTGTGTGTATATATATATATATATATGACAGTATTGTCTTTATAGAGTTGCTTTACATCTAAGGTTTCATAATTGATGAGTTATGCAACATTAACGCTGATATTTTGCGGTTCATTGAATTAAGTCTTTTTAAACAATTTTTTTAAATATTAAAAATATTATTTTAACGTTATTATTATTATCATTACAACAAAAAACAATAAAAAAACTACTTCTCTCTGCAAATGAAGCTGGTGCATGAAGTATTTTATCAGAAAAAAAACATTCACCTTTTACTCTACCACCCAGTTAGGTTTCTGTTGAAAACTTAGTGTGTAGGTCTGTCCTCTTGTGGCCATAATTTGCCACTTTTGAAAGTAAAATTTCAAACGTAAATCACCTCTCCTTATTTTTTTCATCAGCTAAGGATGGTGATTACTGGCGCCTGTTGGCTCCTGGTAACTACAAAGTGTCAGCATCTGCTCCTGGGTACCTCACTGTGGTCAAGAAAGTAGCTGTACCCCACAGCCCTGCTACACGGGTAAACACAGACCCTTTGTTCTCTCCTTTGTCTCATTATATCTAATGTCCTATTCTGACATCTCTCATTTTTCTTGCTCTCAGCTGGATTTTGAGCTGGAGTCGCTGGAAGAGAGGAAGGAGGAAGAGAAGGAGGAGCTCATGGATTGGTGGAAGATGATGTCAGAGACACTCAACTTCTAACTTACCTGAGGCAGACACCATCACAAGCATTATGGGTGTACTATATTTATTGTTGTCGTATGTGTGTGCTCATCAACATAAAATAACATAATTCCGTTTTTTGGTTTATTTTGATTGTTTTACATTAGAGGCACTGCATTTGAACATATTTACAACAGCCATATGCGCATAAGCCATTCATACATGTTAGCAAAGACAACCAGTGTTAAAGCTGGGCTAAGTATTTGCAGATATGGTTGTCCATGTAAATATGGATGAATACATGTATTGCCACTAAATAAAATGCTATGTAGGTTTGGTGAAGTGCCCCTAATGTAAAGTTGATCCTATTGCACTGTTTTTGCGATTTCGATCAACCTGGTTAGTGTTATTTTAGAGCATTGTGTATCATTTGCCTGTGTTTCCTGCAGGCATGCAAAGGTTATTACATATACTGACAGAAAAAGAATCACGGATAACACAGAAAGTCGATATTGTGGAGGCCGATCTATTACTCTTTTGTAATGTTGTGTTTTACATTGATATTGTGAGATTATTTTGTAGCTATGGTCACCAATCACACCAACCAATCAGAGAGCACTGTGTTGTGATGAACGTACATGTCAGCAATGAATATTACTATTTATTCTGATCGTGACTGATTATGACTGAAGCCAATGTAGACAGCACTCATTCACACCTAATCACAAGTCTCTCTCTGTTCAAACACTGTCCTGTGGTTTTAAATAACATTCTGTCAGGACCACTATCGTCAGAATGATAGATACTTAGCATAAAGTTTGGTTTGGCGGTATGGTTCTGTTCTGGGCAAAAAACCTCCCTGCCCATCCATGCAGCCTGTCATGAATGAGCAGGGAGAGCAGCAATAATAACCCCCCCAGGGTTAACAGAACAGAACAATGCAGATATCATTAATGTACTCAATGATATTTAAGTGTAACACTTTATTCAAGATAAAGGAGTCTGATTAGCAAGGAATATCAGAAAGCTAAGTCCTGACTGTGGCGAAAGGTGGAGCTGGGGATGGAGGAGGGTAATTTGCTCCGAAGCAAGCTAAAAAGCTGCAGAATAATACTGAATACAGCTTATATAGGAATGCCGCGATAGGTGTCGTATTCCTATAGGTAGATGTGATCAGCTGAGAATCAGCTGATACAAGCTTGACTCACGTGACCTGCCAGAACTAACGCTAAAGCTTAATTTCTGTCAGGACCACTATCGTCAAAATGATAGATACTTAGCATAAAGTTTGGTTTGGCGGTATGGTTCTGTTCTGGGCAAAAAACCTCCCTGCCCATCCATGCAGCCTGTCATGAATGAGCAGGGAGAACAGCAATAATAACCCCCC